GCTCCATCAAAATCACAATTGTTTTGTTTTTGTATCTGGTGTATTAAAATTCATTTTTAAATGTAAAAGGAAATATTTATAACTGTAGCAGACAAATAAACAGGATTAACTATTTGCACTTTCAGGAAAACTCATCTCAGTCATTTTAAGTAAGATCTTAAATCTAGAGAGTGAAAGGAACCCACAAGTCTCTATCAGCATTTTGAGTTTCTAAGCACAAATAAATGACAGCATTTTCATAGATGAATATACCTCTTTTTACAGTGCTACTCCCACTGAAAATTGGTGAAGCACTCAGATATTCAAATTCTGTGCAATCTTTGATTATATTCTAGTTTTTGCAACTCAAAATAAAATCAGGCACTTCAGCTATAGTGATATTGATTTTTGTTTATGTTCTCTGCTTATCATCTGCTAAGCATAAATGTTCTGTAGGTTAAGTTTAGAAAGAATAAGGAATAGTGTAAGGTATTCAGTAACTTCTTTCCAATGATTTTAGTAGCCTAATGAACAATGGTGCAGATTTGTTTGAATATGAATGTGCAGTGGGATGGAGTTTGACCTTCAGCTGTGATTTCAGTTCGTCAGGATTAGTCAAGCTAGGCGATCAAGACTGCTAATGCATAATGATTTATAAAATGAAAAATGTGTAGTGACCATGCAAATGTTTCAGCTAATCAAAGAGAGGAACTTTAGCTTTGAGAAGAAAGAAAAACAAGGGCATGTCAAGGCCTAAACCAAAGATGTATGTAAAATAATCTGAGCAGCTTGATTAGCCAGAGTGAGATTAGAAGTTGCATTTTTGGCCTTTAAACATACAGTGTAACATATTATATATCGCCTCCCTATAATCTCTACAATGACATGCCCATAAGAGCAGCCTCATCTTTACCAGTAGTACAAAGAACAAATTATACATACTCTTCTTGAATTATTTGTGTCTGAGAAGGCTCAAGTTGGAGAAACTGATTTCCAAAGCAAAAACTCTCTGCTTTAGCAAAGTAATTAAATGGATGCAAGTAAAAACTAATGTCTTAAACTATAGTAGAAACAAAGTAGTAGTGAATCATGATTAAAAGGAATCTCAGTGTCTATTATTGCACTGTGCCATTCTTTCTGTTGTTCCTGTCACACTATTTCCCTGCTGCTAAAAGATTGTATTAAATAGCAATATGCACTGTCCATCCCAGATCTCTTTAAATACTCCCGTTCAGCACTTGATGAAAAGCTTACAAATACCACTCAATTCATTGTCAGTTCTTTTTAATACCATAAAACCAGGAAGCTTTTGAAAGGCTATTATTATGATAGACATTATACATGTAACCAGGGCTTGAATTTGGACCGAGGCTGGCAATGCAATACAATAATTTCTTATATTAAAGTAAACTACTGATATAGTGTCGAGAGGAAAGAAGTGAACAGAAAAATTTATCAAAGAGTGTACAGTCAAATATTTCATATCAATAGTCTGCTAAAATAGGAACAGATACTCTGACATAAAAAGCAATTTTGTATCAATTATATAAATTGTTTAATCCTTAAAGGATGAATACTTTTGTTTTTTAAGTACCAAGATCTGGAGGTCAGGACATATGTGTCTTCAAATTTTAAGCAAAGAATAAGAGGTCTACTAAATACAGTAGTTGACAGATATTGTTAAAAGTAATTTATTTTTTTAAAGACAACCTCATCCACAGGTTGTGACTGTTTTTTATATTCATATTTAGTGAAGAAAGAATTGGACTGACTTTATGCTAAGACCTTTTTCAATCACCAACACCTAACTGTGATTTTTAATTAAATAACAGACTTAACATGCAAACCCAACACATTCACAAAAGTTTTAGCTGGACTAGGTTTAAAAGGGTTGTGTGCATACTGTAGTTTATGTTTAAATGGTCCATTTTCATACTCTTAAAATAGCTCCTTAAATTCAAAGGGAGAGAAATCTTTGCATTGTCTCTCAGTAACTTTGTGATCCTTTCATTGGAGTAAAAACTGAGAAGCTTAATCTAAACACATTTCTATTATTTTTAAAATCTTAGCATCAACAATTTGCTCTAGAATAAAATGTTTTTTTCTTATTTTCCCTTTTTGTCTCATTTCAACATAGTTTCAGAATTTTTCTCTTCACATTTCACCATATAAAAATCCTGTGCTCGCATCTGTTGAGTCAATAGTTCTTGGTGCATGGAGAAGCACATTGGGTTTTTCCTTTCTTCATCTAACATGATAACTTAACGATAAACAAAATTGTGTTTTTGTGAGTCAGAATGGAAGGTTTAATCAGACTTATTCTAAATACAAAGAAAGTAAAATAAAAAATCTCCCAGGCAGCATTAACACTCTTTCTCTCCTGCCAAGACACCCATTCAGAGTAGGCCATACATTCCTTCTAGTTTCATTGGTAGCTGCATAATACATTATGGATTATTAGATCCAACCATACTTTCAATTTGCCAAATCTCTCACACAAACACACAAATTCAAGGGAAGCCTCTCCCTTCTTCTATCATACTTTTTTTTAAATTTTGATATTAAGTGAATAAAGTATCAGGTGGAAAATAAGGAAGACATCACTTTACTGTTATATATATATATATATATATATTTCAGAGAGTTCTAGATTCTTATATTTGAAGTTTGTGTTGCCAGTGTAATTACTGATAAAACGATAGTCTTAATTGTTTTTTATGTACTCAGCTAATCTCTATTATTTTTTGTCATTGAATTCCATCATAAATTTGATAGCAGAGAAATGCAACAGGGCAATAATAAAATATAAAATAGAAAGGAATGAAATGTGTCATTTAAAATGAGTGCCTTAAAAATAATTAGTTAAGTCATAGTGAAAGGGTTCTATGCAATGCTGAGGTAGAAAATGCGTTTAAAATTTTCTCATGTATCACATCAGTCATTAAAGTACCAAACTATAATTATATAAACTAGAATTTAACTGGAAGTTGTAACAGGGTAGCATGACTCCTTTCAACTTTTTAAATAAAGTATACTTGTTACTTTATAAATAACATATAAATGCTTCTACATGTAGATAGATAATTTAATTAAGACACTCCTTGTGCTAAAAGTGACAATCAGATAAGAAAGGTGTGGTGTCTCATCAGATGGTCTATTTTATAGCAGATATGCAGAGATTTCTGGTCTATGTATATGTGTGTATACATATATACATACATATACATATATTAGCAATATGCATATATGTAATTATATGTGTATTTGTATTGGCTTCCTTTTAAAAACTAAGGTTGTCTGTTTTTCTCAGTCCCTTCCTTCCTTTCAGTTTAATTTCTTATTATTTGGAAACAATCTAAAATAAATGATTGTTGGAACAAAACATATTTTGCTGATTAAGATTTTTTCCAAAGTCCTCTATGTAACCATTGTATTTGCTTATCAAGGAACAAATATGTAA